TAGATTTTTTTTATTTATCAATGGCCGTAGTATAAAATAGGGATAATAGATTCGTATTAATGAAAGCGTTTTGCTCGATCCAACAGACCTGTACAAGCTGACAGGCGAGGTGCTTGGTGAAGGCGCGTACGCGTCGGTACAAACGTGCGTGAACATCTACACGGGGCGGGAGTTCGCAGTTAAGATCATAGACAAGGTGCCAGGACACGCCCGGGCAAGGGTGTTCCGCGAGGTGGAGACATTCCACTACTGCCAGGGACACCCGAACATAATCCAGCTCATTGAATTTTTTGAGGACACCGACAAGTTCTATCTTGTCTTTGAGAAGGTGAGCATTTATCAATTTACCATTCTCGTTTCATTTCGTAGCACAAACTTGGTAGAGGTGATGAGAGTTAATGGGGGGAGATAGAGCAGCGAAAACACTTGTTCACGAATTGAGTAAACCTCAGAAATTTTTCAATTGAAATTATAAGTTTTCAAGAAACTAGTTACGAGAAGACTGATTAAAACCATGCATAGGCCCCCGTGCGATGCGAGTGACGGGCCCCTCTCCTTTTGTTCGACCATCCTATATCATGTAAATATCTTTTTCCTATAATCGCGGGGCACAAAGGCATTTTGTGAACTACTTTGCCTTTAGGCTAATCCGGCCCTGGTTATGAGTTATATATAATAAGATTAGATAATGTGTCCCTTGTGACACGTAAGAAATTTATTATTTTTAATCCGAAATATTATTCTCGTATTTTATACTTTAATGATATCTTATTCCATTATTAAAAAGATATCTAGGCAACGTATAGACCATACAAATGTATTCCTCTGTTTTCTCCCAGAATTATACACTAGTGCCAATATTTTTACAACTGTTTTATTACATGCAATAAATCTTGTGTAATAAAACAGATCGTTATGGATTACGATAAGTTTCTTAAATATAGTATATTATATTTAATCAGGCATTTATGATCAATCTTAACAGATAGGTAATCGAAATTTAAATATTGCATAATTGAAATGTATTTTAAGAAAATAATAGCAATTGATGCCTCGTATTATTTGTATTTATTTTTGTGTAAAGTTTAATCTTGAAAATCTTAGATGTCTGTCAGTATTATAAGATTGACACATCTAAAATGAACATTGTGCCTGTTTTGATACTGTTTTCGATAAATTTATTATTTACAACATGTGGTCTATATATAATCTCTCGTTTAAACCTTAGTTTACGAAGAGTATTTCACGAAAGAAGTCCCTTAGCCGCGGCCCAATATCTTCAAATTACATATGTCGAACTACAAAAATCTTCGCGGGTTGCATGTGGCTTCAATATAGACTCGTTGGAACGTTCATCCTTAAATAGAATATTCGACACGTTACTTACATATTATTATAACATGTTCTTTGTAATCTAAGAGTAATCATTTATTTAAATTGAAACGTGTGCTATTTACTATAAGAAGTATGACATCAGTTTTTGTTGAAATATAATCTGGCCTTGTGTTACAATAACGATTAATTACTAAACGTAACTTAAATTTAAAATAATAATAAAATCTTTACAACATTTTATATCATAACAAATGTATGCCGTTTGATAAGTTATCAGTTCATCTAATTACCTACCATTAAATGTCGAAATCAATTTAAAATGACAGCAACTTCATGTGACTTCGTGAATAGAAAGCAACATAATGGTGACATATTAAGATGATCCTTGTAATTTAACTTACAAACTATCTTTACGATAATTCAATGAGGCGTATTTACGACATACTTAACACTTTTAACGAATGATAATGATGCTTTGTTTGGGGAACGTTCCGCCGATTTACCTCATTGTGATGTAAACACAAGCGTCTGTAAACATTAGTCATGTCATATGGGGGCGTTGCTTTATAACAATTGCCAAGGTTATATTTATAATAATGCAAAATATAATGAGTTAAGGGAACAAAGTCAATGTTTACCTTTGTATTTATGTAACAATGTGTATTAACATCTAAACATTATAAAACAATGTCTCTTATCTGCATCTGTCTATATATTCGCTTAAATGGTGATAAAGCTAAGCCTTTTATTGATGTAGCACGAATAGGTCCGTTTCGAAGATGAGACTAATAAAAAGGGTTCATTCAGATCTCTTCACTCTACTCAGAAAACACTGCAACATTATGCAACTATTTTTCGCTGGTGGCCCAGCGGTCAGTGCAAACACGTAACTTTCCTGTCGGTTATCCTAAATACATAATTATTCCTTTTGCAGATCAACGGCGGCCAGCTCCTGTCCCGCATCCAGGAGCACCATTATTTCTCGGAGCCGCAGGCGGCTGAAATAGTACGCGAGATCGCTAACGCCCTTCATTTCCTGCACGGCAAGGGCGTGGCGCATCGCGACCTCAAGCCCGAAAACATTCTATGCGTGCATCGTGATCGCCTGTGCCCCGTCAAGATCTGTGACTTCGACCTGGGTAGTGGCATCAGCTTCACCTCCAGTTTGGCCAGCCCACTCGCCACGCCGCAGCTCATGACACCGGTAAGACCCACTTGTGCATATTAGTCGTAGCACCTAGCATAATAACTTTTGAAGTGGTTGTGCTTTTCTTTAAGTTATATATGTCATAAATATGATTAAAAAAGGTACTTCACTATCCAAGTACTACCTACTTACATACCTATACTTATCTTTGTAATTAAAATATTTTAAGTTATAATAACACAAAATACTGGAATTAAAATTTTGTTTACAAAGATTTTTAACTAAGTAGAATACAATCACATTTCTGTTAGGAATAGTGTTTCGGATTTATTTGTTGTTTACACTATCTACCTATTTCTTCCGAACCAAGCTTCGCGATTCCCGACGAATGGCCTTGCAAGTTGCATGCGTTGGGCATCACAGAACTCACATAGTAGTGAAAATATGTTCAGTCGATCATAGTCAGAATAGGTACTTTACCTAAGTAACTTACCGTTTCGCAATGTATTCTTTTACTCTTTACTGACAGTCCTTAGTAACCACGGAAAGTCCGCCGTGACGTAGGAGGGGGAAAAGATGCAAAGTAATACGGACATTCGCGAGCAGCGAAAAAGTTTAATTTAGCTTGCGTGTGCGATTTATCTAATTAATAATAATTAATGTAAGCTATTAAAATGTCGGCAAGCTGTCGACATCAAAGGAGTGCAACTTCTGTACGTAGTACTATTCTTTATTCTGTGCCGTGGGCTCTAGCGCGTGTTGTAAACAACCAGGTTTCGATGTTTCTTCTATGGTAGTAGGTACATATTACTTCAATGAGTGTCAATCACCAATTTGTTCAGATTACATTTCTACAATTCTTTATCTCGCTTTCATATTAAATATTCTGTGCATGTATCTTAAGATGATGACCACTTGGATGGGTACCATGTATCTATATGAACACTTTGTGAACTGGTGGGAATTGAAGTTGGTTGTGGTGTGGCAGGTGGGCAGCGCGGAGTTCATGGCCCCCGAGGTGGTGTCGCTGTTCGCCGGGTCGGCGGCGACGCACTACGACAAGCGCTGCGACCTGTGGTCGCTGGGCGTGATCGCCTACATCTTGCTGTGTGGCTACCCGCCCTTCCGCGCCGACTGCGGCAACGACTGCGGCTGGGAGCGCGGCGAGAACTGCCGCGCCTGCCAGGAGCTGCTCTTCACCACCATACAGGTGCGACACCTTGTCACACGTGCATGTGCTCCGTGCACCTGCTGTTAAGTACTAACAGATGGTAGAACAGCAGTATATCCACTAATGCGTTTTTGTTTGAAGAACAAAAGAGCCAGTGTAATTAAAAGTTGTGACCTTCTTTGTTTGAACTTGGTTGCAGCAGTCTTCATTGACTTTAATGTCACGCATAGTATTTTTTATAGGATGGGGTGACAAACTAGCATACAGTCCACCTGATAGTAAGTGGGTGCTGTGGTTCATAGACATCTACATTTATCCTCAATAAAGAATCAAAATGCAGATGCGTCATCATCCGTGAGGATTAAAATGGAATGCCTCTTTTCCAGTAAAATGGGTCTCCGGTTCTCTACATTCACCATACGAAATAGCGTAAAATGGCAGCTTGACACTGCCATTTTACGCTGGTATTCTGTGAGAGTGTGGTTCGTCCCTGGTCGAGCCGACTTTAACGATAAATATATAGTAGTTCTTATTGAGGATAGACTTGTTATTCAGCAGTGAACTATATAAAGGCTGTATGATAGTGATGGTGACGATATAAAAAAGAGATATAGAATAGTTTCTATTGGTACGGACACAGTATGAATAGTGTGGAGATGGAGAGTTAAAGAAAGGTTTGTCCGTCAGGAGGGACGGTACTCGTTCCCGGAGGAGGAGTGGGCGCACATCTCGTGGGAGGCGAAGGAGCTGATCGGGCAGCTGCTGGTGCGCGAGGCGTCGCACCGGCTGAGCGCCGAGCGCGTGCTGCAGCACCGCTGGCTGCGCCGCGCGCACCCCGCGCCCGCCGACACTGCGGCGCCCCTGCGCACGCCCACCAACATGCAACGGTACCTACACAAACATTCACAAGCAACACGCACAGCCTACTCGCCTCCGTTTACATACGCCATATACCAACATGTACTAGTGAATGCAACTAGAAACTCACATACGCACACCCAATATGTAGCGATCAGTGCACAAATATTCAACATGCAGAGATCCATTACTGTTTACAGCCTACTGTTAAACACTAACTAGCTACAATCCACTGCTAAACACAAGCCTCCCCTATAGATTCCCTCATAGGTGTGATATTTGCCATAGTTGCCATGCGTGATAAGCAGGTTAGCAATTACAGTTTTCTACAGACTTCAAAAAGGAGACTGTACTCAATTCGTCTGTATGTTTTTTTTGTGTGTTACCGACCTCATAACTTTTTACTAGGTGAAGAGATTTCGATGATTCTTTTTTTATTTGACAGCTGATGCTTTCAAATTTGATTAAGGTCTGACCAATAGTTTTTAAGTTATTCTTAATAATTTACATTGAAGTCAGTTGTATAAAATTTTTAATTTTTAATTATTTATTTTTAGTTGTTATTAGGAAGAAGCTACTGCCCATCTCCTGATTTATTTCCCTCTGTCGCCTCTTACGACACCCACGAAATGATATGAGGTAGTGAATATTCTTACACTGCCACTACACATACATTCACGCACTAACATGTAGAGGTCAATACACCTAGAAACTCACATTCGCACACGAATATGCAGTGATCAGTCCATCTAAATTCACTTGAAGCAACATAAACATAGACCTATGTTCAGCAGTGGACTTGTGAAGGGCTGAAATGATGATGACGACACATACATCCACCAGTTAGTGCACCTACATTCACACATGCACATTGAAATGTATCCACCTCCACACCAACATGCAGCGGTTAGTGCACCTATATTTACAGAACAAGAGCAGGCAGTGACTAGATCACCCACATTTACATATACACACCAACATGCATTGGTCATCACCATCATCATCATCAGTACAGTCCTACACTTGTTCTCCATGCAGTGGTCAGTGCACCTAAATTCACATACACACATCAACATGTAATGGTCAGGACACTTCTTTTATACACTTCCCAACATGCAGCAGTCATTGCAAATACCTACGCTCACTTGCAACATGCAGCTGTCAGTGCACATAACTTCACACACTCACACTAACCATGTAGTGATCAGTCTACATAAACACACCAAAATTTTATTATGATTTCCATTATATTAAGGATTCAATCTTTTTGGCTCCATCTCTGCTATTGTCATAATATCATTCATGCAACTGAAAGTAAATTGTTATATCCATTAAAGAGAATACATCTAATCTAAAACAATACACAATACGCATTTCAAATCTAATAAATCGTTTTTGTCCCTACAGTAACATGTCAGCACGCAACCTGTCCAACTTTGCGGAATCTGCAATGGCAGTGAACCGGGTTATTCAACAGCACTTCTCCATGAATTATTCTTACATGGAACGTCCTACTGCGGCGCTTCGCTCCAGCAAATCTTGCCACCCTAGCCCAGATATCATTGAAGATGAACTCGAGAGAGCCGGTGTGGCCTTGCGAAGGATGTGTGCTGATGACTACTGCCCGCCGCTGGGTCTCTCCCCGCCCACGGAATCCCAGCTGCTGCGACGTCGTCTACAACAGCCGACGGAAAATTCTGTGCAAGTGCATTAGCCCAGCGTCTTTATTGTATTTCATTCTACCCTCAATGACCATACAAACATACTACCGAAAAGATTCAACTGGAATGTTGAAATATAATCTGAAATAACTGAAGAGTCAGTTTATCTAAAAATTGATCAACAGTGGTTTGTGAGCAAATGGAATGATTCCAATTAACCTTTAAGAGTAGTATATTGTCTATAGATAGATATTCTTTGTAGCTGTAAGCCTCTGAATAGGTTGGCTTAATTGTGCTTTAAAGTGTCTGGTCGCAGATCCGAGGACTTGAATGTATTTAATAGTACGATATTGGTGCAGTAGACACCCGCCGATATGCGTCAGTCATCATTGTGCGGTAGTGCTTATTCTTCATGGCCTCTTGTGACGTCGGGACTCGTAAACTAACAAACCGTCACACACGCACGAGTGAATGCAGTCGAAGGGCACGGACGACTGACAGACGGACAATACCAGAGTGTGTGAAAAGTTTATTAGTGATTTGAGCCATACAGGTTCCGTCACATTCCATTGAGTGCCGCAGTACAAGATTCAACCCACCGCGTTGTGAAGACCCCGTGGGGTTTGATCGCTTGCAACGGCAATAATTAGGATCGTCAGTTGCCATTATATGAAAGCTAATTTCACACTTGGCAACTAATTTTGTTATAATTTTCCTTTATAATTAAGCCATAGTTATTAAATGCATATACATACATATATAAAAACTCCAATATAAAAACAGTTTCAGTGAAACTATAAAAGTTGACAAATGTACCAAAAATTGCTTAGTGTGATTTGTAGCGTAAATAGAAACAATAAAAATATATTTGTAGATTATATATTCTAGAGGGCCGTGATTTCCTATTGCTGTTGCAAGCGAATGAAGGCACTGTTACCTTCAAGCAGTGGCAACGAGACGGCCCCTAAGGCCGTGACTCAGTGCCAATGGATAATTCTCCAGTGATACACGTCCGATCGCAATCCTCCTGTGAACGGTACTTAGAGCTGTAACAGTTTTATTTGAGCCTTTTAAAGATATATTTTTATGGATAAATAAAAACGACTGAATAGTTTTTATCAATTTGTAGAGTATTTGTGAGTTTGTTGCGGCGGCCGCGAGTCGCCGGAGACCGACTTTGGTCGATAAAATCGTATTATATGAACATAGTTGTGCTGATCTACATTATATTCGATAACAGATTAATTTTTTTTTGTTTTCCTGGATTTCAGAAATCCGCTGTTTTTGTAATGAGCTTAATTGTGTGATTGCCTTCCGTTCGTGGCCTATCCTTTGCAATATAACTGAGAATAAATTTTGTTATTTTCGATAGCGTGTTCGGATACTAGTCTGTTATGTGATTGTTTTTTGCATTTTTACCAACGATGAAAAAACCACATCTCATTAATAATTAAGAGTGAATCAAGCTAAGTTTTATACGAGAGATAAGTGCAATATATGACATTTTTGCTGAGAGAGGTTCAAGGGTAGTCATGTTACTATACTTTTGATCATTAAATTGAATTAAATTCGCTTTATATTGTCAAATGTCGCGAAGCACTTCTGGACTGATTGTAAGGGAAATGTCATATAGTTGTAACCATACCGTTGGTTAAGTGTTGCATGGTGTTCCATGGAACTGCCATAAATTTGTGATCAGTTTGAATACTTTTATATTGCTGATAGAATGAAGTGTTGAGATAATGTTAAGCATAGACCTGCTAGAATGTAATCCTGCGTAAATCTTTGATTGGAGAATGATTCGCGCAGCGCCACCTCAGTTTGGCCGTTATAGCATCTATTTTCACAAATTTTATATATTTTTCAATTTATGTAATTATATAAATTTTATAAGATTTTGTAACCCCGGTGGCTTTATCCAATCGATTTTAAACATACGCAGTACTTTGTTAAAAATTGTTTTTCGACTAAATCATTGATTTAAACTATCATTGAAATACAGATGTTTGAATTTTTAAAGTTTGTTTCTCTCCCCTTCTTGTCTCCCTTTATTAAATAATCGAAATTTCTTCTGTTAGTTAGTAGAGTTAACCACCTCACTATAAATGGTATTTTTTGGGGAGGTTGGGCCTTACTCAGATGGTGCATTTGCATATGGAGTGTTACATGTGTATATGGCAGAATTAGAACGTATAAACACTACGCGAGCCAATTCATACTCTTAAAAACACCCGAGCCAGCAAAATAATGATATTTCTAATAAAAAAAAATACTAGTCGACGTATTTTTAATAGCACATTACGATTATACTTGTATTTGTAATTGCACACTCCAATTTTTTTATAAAAAATCAAAAAGTAAATTATGGTTTTTACTAGTACTGCAATATCGATATCTCCGTAAATAAAGTTTTTTTCTAATTGCACGGAGTGCCAATAAATTGCACATATCTCGAGATATCGATATTGCAATACTAGTAAAAACCATAATTTACTTTTTGATTTTTTATAAAAAATTGGAGAGTGTGCAATTACAAATACAAGTATAATCGTAATGTGCTATTAAAAATACGTCGACTAGTATTTTTTTATTACAAATATCATTATTTTGCAGGCTGGGGTGGGGGGTCGCTTAAAAACTCTTATACTGGACAAGGCCTATCCATTACCTGAAATACTTCTCGAAAGCCACGCGGCAGTTTTTGCTGTTGCACGTATATGGGCCGGCTCGAGCCGGGTTGGTACCACGACCTCATAATACCGGCGTGAAGTAGAAGCTCTGCTTCTGCGTTTCGTCTGGTGAGTGTAGGTGGCCGGAGGAACAATCCCCCCCCCCCCCCCCCCCATCAACATGGTAGCGGAATTACACCAAAGACTACCCCAGGAGGGTACCACCAGCACCCCTGGAGAATCCCTCGCTGAGCATCCACGACCATGTTATTCCACTCCTGAGCTTGGGTGCTCAGGCTGCCCCGCGTATTCTTGGGGCAAAATTCCGCTCAAAAACATAACTGCTCCTGGCCAACTGAGCAACAATACCAAGGCGACTCCTGCCATGCTATCCGTGAATTTCTGCAACATCAGGGGACTTCACTCGAACCTAAACGCCGTCCACTAACCATCTCGAGACGGGGAAGCCGACCTTGCTCTTTCTAATCGATGGTGGTGTCCTCTCCGGCTGATACTTCGTATCTCTCCTACCTGGGGTACAAATTGGAGCACTCCTTTGTGCCTCGAGCTGGAGTTTGCGTGTATGTCAGAGAGGACATCTGTTTTCGACGCCTCGGCAGTCTTAAAGGTTCGGACCTGTCCATCCTTTGGCTACGCGTAAACAGCGACGACCATCCGCGCATCTACGGGTGCCCCTATAGGTCCCATAGCGGTAATGCCGAAACAGACCGACTAATCGACCACGTCCAAATAAATGGCTACAGATTCCTTGCTACAACAGGTCCCATCCGCAGAGATCGTGATCCTTGGCAATTTTAACGCCCACCACGCCGAATGGCTTGGTTCTCGTTTAACCGATCATGCGGGTAGATCTGTCTATGACTTTGCCTTGGCATATGGTCTGACACAACTGGTTACTTCGCCTACGCGGATTCCAGATGTGGAGGATCATACACCTTCCCTGTTGGAGTATGATCCTCCACATCTGGAAGTTACACGAACACGATGCACACATACATACCGCCCTATATCCAGATCCCTTGAGTCGTTCTGGCGTGATTGAGTAACATACATCCATCCATCCAAACTTTCGCATTTATAATATTTAGATAATAATTGTAATTAGTTCTGCCTACCTATAAATTGTTTTTAAAAATACTTACCTGTCTTCTTACTTTTTTTATATATATTCAATATCAGCAAATGTAAACACAGGTTTTTATCAAGACAAGTGACCCATCAAGTTTTCTTAGTACCGACGTACCTACCTAAAGTTTACTTTTTAGTGTCCACGACGCGGCGACGGTTTGTGACCTTTTGTTGTATTGTAGGTTGTAGGTATCTAGGTAATAATAACAGTAGGTACCTATGATAATCCCACATAATACACCGAGTTTGTCCGTCGCAAAATTCGTCGAATAAATAATTAAACTGTTTTGTAAATCTTTTTTGATTACTTATTTCCTTTATAACATATTTATTGATAGCCGTGGTAGCTCAGATGGTTAGCGCTCGTTGTAAGTATCACAGTACGCGAGCAACCCGGGTTCAACCCCCGCCGGCACCAATAAAATTGTTGCAATTTTAAGTGCTGATTTACATATACCACGTGCTCGGCGGTGAAGGAAAACATCCTGAGGAAACTTGCATGTCTGAAAATATAATTATAATCGAATATAAATCAAATTGACATAGGTACAGATACAATTAGCGGAACATTAATAAAATTTTGGGTTCGTTTTTTTTTTAATTTTATTTATATTCCGCTATTTTAATTTAGCCGTGTAGTGGCGGTCAAGAATATCCACTACCCCATATCCTCCCGTGGGTGTCGTAAAAGGCGACAAAGGGAAACAGGCAGGAGATGGGCAGCAGCATCTTCTTGATAACAACAAACTAACAATAAAAAAACTGCGGTTGCCAACCCGCTCGCCAAGCGTGGCAACTATAGCAAATACCTCCCTATGAATAACAGTAACAAAGAAACGGCCCCCAGTCCCCGGCGGCCCCGCTATTCCTGGCTACGGTGGCGACCATGGTAACGGCGGGGCAGGGGGTGCTAAGAATCTCCGGTGGAGGTTCGGTTGCCACCTTAGACGACTCGACCTGGCAACGTACAACGCACGCACCCTGAGGACTGACGAGAAGATTGTGGAGCTGGAAGAAGAGATAGACAAGTTGCGCTGGCATATTATAGGATTATCCGAAGTCCGAAGAGGAGGGGGAGGACACGGTAATCCTCGAATCCGGCAACTTGCTCTATCACCGGGAGGGCGACCATCTGTCCCAAGGAGGTGTCGGATTTATCGTCCACAAGTCTCTCGTTAACAACGTTGTAAAGATCGGGAGTGTGTCGACGAGGGTTGCGTACCTTATACTCAGAATCACCAAACTGTATTCGCTGAAGGTCACACAGGTTTAAGCACCAACCTCGGCACACCCCGATGAGGAGGTGGAGGAAATGTATGAGGATATCTCTAGAGTCATGCATTCCTCCAAAACCCAATATACGGTGTTAATGGGAGACTTCAACGCAAAACTAGGCACAAGAGAGAACGGTGAGCTGAAAGTAGGGAAATTTGGAATAGGGCAACGGAACCCAAGGGGCCAGCAGCTGGCCGACTTCATGGAGAAAGAGGGACTCTTTATGATGAACTCTTTCTTCCAGAAGCGGCCCCACAGGAAGTGGACCTGGTCGAGCCCCGACGGTTCGACAAAAAATGAGATTGACTTCATTATGACGACCAGACGATAACTGTTCAGTGATGTCTCCGTGATCGCGAGGGTGAAAACTGGTAGCGATCACCGAATGGTTAGAGGCACACTGAACCTAAACGTTAAGTTGGAGAGGTCTCGTCTAATGAAGTCAACGCTCCGTCCCCCTCGTGCTCTAATCCAAAGTCCCGAAACCTTTCAGTTCGAGTTACAAAACCGTTTTCAGTGCCTAGAAGACTGCAATGAAGTGGACGATTTGAATGACAAGCTCGTGGAAACTGTCCATGCGGTCGGAACTAAGTTCTGCAAGACCCGCCGCAGAAGAACACAAAAACTCTCCGATCACACTCTTAATCTCATGGCTGTTAGACGGGAGATGAAGCTACATTCTTCAACAGACTTGACAGCATACAGGCATCTGAACAGACAGATCTCCAAATGCATGCGGCGGGACTTACGCAACTTCAATACAGCTCGTATTGAAGAAGCGATCGAGCGGAACCAAGGCTCCAAAGTCTTTGCCAGAGATCTGTCTGCCAGAAAGAGCCAACTGTCAAAGCTGAAGACAGAATGTGGCAGCATCGTTTCCGGGACACCTGGGATGTTGAGTGAGATTGAGAGGTTCTATGGGCAGTTGTACACGTCATCGTTGGAGCCACACGCAAGTGTGAGTAACGATCCAAGAGCGAGTCTCATCCGACACTATTCCGAAGATATCCCGGACGTCAGTCTGAGCGAGATTAGAATGGCTCTCCAGCACCTTAAAAACGGTAAGGCCCCAGGCGAGGATGGAATTACAGCGGAGCTTCTGAAAGCGGGTGGAAAACCGGTACTTGAAGTCCTTCAGAAGCTCTTTAATTCCGTCCTCCATGGTGGCATTACACCGGAGGCGTGGAGCAGAAGTGCGGTGGTCTTGTTCTTCAAGAAAGGTGACAACGCTCTCTTGAAGAACTACAGACCGATTTCCCTTCTGAGCCGCGTCTACGTGCTGTTTTCGAGAGTCATTACGAATCGTCTCGCGCGCAGACTTGACGACTTCCAGCCTCCCGAACAAGCCGGTTTCCGAAAGGGCTTTAGCACCATAGACCACATACATACCCTTCGGCAAATTGTACAGAAGTCCGAAGAGTACAATTTGCCACTATGTCTGGCGTATGTGGACTATGAAAAAGCCTTTGATTCCGTCGAAATTTGGGCGGTGCTGCAGTCCCTTCAGCGGTGCCAAGTTGACTGTCGGTATATCGAAGTGTTGAAGTGCTTGTACAGTAGGGCTACGATGACTATCCGAGTACAGAACCAGAGTACGAAACCTATCCAATTGCAGAGAGGTGTAAGACAGGGTGACGTCATATCCCCGAAACTCTTCACCGCTGCATTGGAAGACGTTTTCAAGCTTCTGGACTGGAAAGGATACGGTATCAACATCAATGGCGAGTACATCACTCACCTTCGATTTGCCGATGATATAGTCCTTATGGCAGAATCGCTAGAGGACTATGCTCAATGACCTCAATAGTGTTTCCCAACGGATAGGTCTTAAGATGAACATGGACAAAACAAAGATCATGTTTAATGTCCATGTCACACCTATGCCGGTAGTTGTTGGGAACACTAAGCTCGAAGTTGTTGACG